TAGTTTTAAAGGTTTGTATTGAAAAACAGTGGGATTATCGTGAACCTCTATTTATATGTGTAGATTGGTAACAGTAAGAAAGATGAATTTACGATGGTTTCCATGTGTTTTATATATTCCCCTTTTCATGTCTTCTCAAGAAAGATTTAAACAGTTCTTTAAATAGTTTGAGATTGTCCACTGAGATTTCTTTAAAAGAAAAGGTGTGTCAACAAAGGATCTTCATGCGCATGGGATTTACAAAGCTGTCCCTCCTGGGTACCATTCCCCCTTTGATTTCACCAAGAAGAAAAAGGCTCTCTTTTCAGTGCTTCCACTGAACTTTGTTCTCATATAACTTCTGTATCATAATGACTTGTTTACATAAGTCACACACATACACACAAACACCATGCTTATCAAGAGTGTCTCAAAGACTAGAATCATGTCCTATTCATCTCTATCTTCCTAATATCTACCATGGTTCCTAGCCCTGGTTGCCTGAAAAGATGGAAACCATAAGACAGGAAAAGGTTACAATTCAGTATTTCTAACTTTTTTTTTATTAAAAACTTCCATATAGAGAAGTTTTTCATACTCTTGTAGTTCATTTTTTAGTTCTAATATTTGTCAACAGCAATGCATTACTAAAAAAACAGGAGAGAGAGAAAAGCACTTAATTTAATCAGGAGAAAAGAGGTCCAAAGTTTCAAACCCCATCTGCCATCAACCAGCTGGGAGACCAACACAGGTCAGTTCGTGCTTCTGACCTTCAATCCCTCACTAGCAATGGAGGTATCTGGACTCCACAGTCTATGGATGCTGAAGCTCTAAAATTCAGTGATCCCTTGGTAATACTCAGCCCCACGTGCCTCCAGGAAGGGTGGGGGACAAAACCGAAACAGAAGTTTCCAAGAGGGAAAGGTTTCCACTTCAGGTTTCTGTTTTCCTTGGACCGCTGTCACCTCACACTCTCCTCGCTGGAAAGTTCTGTTCTTCGAACCTGATCAGGTGTCTCAGGAAGAGACAGAGGCCAGAGAGGATGGAGAATGATTTGCAAAGAAGCCGAAAGGGGAATTCTATAACTGTGTGTTTTTCCACTCCATTCTAATTTAAAACCACTTACAAGTGACAACTCCCAGCCCGAGGCAGGCGCTGTGTGGTAGCTCATTATACCCTGGGGACCCCGTGTAAATCTTTTTTTTCCTGAGAATAGCTATTGTCTTCCAAGAAAAAGCTTTTAGCATAATGGCAGGCTGAATAGAACATTGCTCTTGTACAGATATTTTTAAGAGAAAGAACAAGAGAAAGGTATTCTTTAACAGCCTCAAACACAGTCTCTTGTTCTCTCCACCTCAGGCCCCCTGGAAAGAACAGTGTGTGAGTCGTCAGAGGCTATGGCAGACTTGTGAGATCACCTCACCTCCAGACACAGAAGGGTAAACTCTGCTCTTTCAGGTTATAATAAATGCCAGGTAGAGGTGTCTCCAAGAGCAGAAATAGCAGATCTGCCCCCTTCCATTCAACTCTGTTGTTTCTCGTCTCCTCACCAGCCCGTGAGTCAGGCAGCCGCTATTCGCTTGGAGAATGACAGCTTCTAACAAGAGAATGTCATTCTGCTTTGGAAAATTCTCACAGACTTGTTCCCCCTCTCAGGTTCTTCTTGAAGGTTGTCAGGACAACGCGGCTCGGGGGCGTGGATGGAGAGATGTCCAAAGGGGAAGAGAATCAGCAAGAAAGTTCCTGAGAAAAACATGAGGCTTCCATCACAGAGATGTGACCCCCAAACTAAAAAGGAACTCAACTTGCCCTGGACTGCAATGGTCATTGAAAATGTGAGGGACTTCCCTGGTGGTCCAGTGGTTAAGACTCGGAGTTACCACTGCAGAGGGGGCGCAGGTTCGGGCCCTGATGAGGGAACCAAGACCCCACACGCCTCACAGCCAAAAGAGCAAACCGTAAATCAGAAGCACCGTCGTAACAGATTCAGTAAAGACTTTTAAAAATGGTCCACATCATAAAAATCTTTAAAAAAGACAAAAATAATGTGAGGGGATGGGGGAAATGTGGAGAAAATAGAAAAGTTAACATAACAATGATGGTCTTCAAGAAGCAGTGTGTTTGGATTGTGTGCATTTCTAGGAAATTTCTCCGTGAGGGCGTAGACCCTAAAGAGGGGGATATTCTGGAACTGTGGGGTAGAGACCTGGGCTCTCCTCTCTGAGAAGCCTCTTAACATGGGGCTTCAGGCTGGTTGTATACCCTTAGTGAGGCTTAACCTGGCCATCTGCAAAAGGAAGATAATGACAGCCCTTCTGCAAGAGTAGGAAGTCCGCGCAGGCATGGGAGTGGCTGAGCCCTCGAAAAGGCAGTCCAACCGCCCTTCCTCATTTTTCATCCACTTCCAATGGGGTTTGAGGAAACAATACTCCCCTCCCGCGAGACTTTTTCTTAACCTTCTGAATTGTTCTCTAGTTTTCTTCAATGCAGTATCTTCTCTCCGTTCCAATCCAAAAAGCACACATATGCGCACACAAACACACGCCGCTCCTGAAGAGCACAGTCAAGTCCCCTACGTATGAACTCAAGTTGCAAACTTTGAAAAGATGCGCACGTGGGTGCGCATGTCCAACCACGTGAGTGAGTCCAGGTGTCTGGCGTCCGTTGTCATCCGCATGCATCCTCCACAAGTGCTCATGTTTTTGTGTAGTTTGTGACACTGCATAGAGAACAGTAGTGCAGTGCTGTGCCAAGTCCCTTCAGCGTGTCTGACTCCTTGCGACCCTACGGACCTTAGCGTGCCAGGCTCCTCTGCCCACGTGATTCTCCAGGCAAGAATACTGGAGGGGGTTGTCATGCTCTCCTCCAGGGGATCTGGCAAGCTAAGTCTCCAACGTGTCTCTTACATCTCCTCATTGGCAGGCAGGTTCTTTACCACTAGTGCCACCTGGGAAGTTCCTAGAGGACAGTAGTACAGTATCTTTATTTCAAGCCCAGGATGTCTGGAAGCAAAAAACTAATGCTTATGTAGCTGGTACTCCTGTACTTTTCAAGGTTCTGTACTGTAAGATTAAAAATGTTAATTTTTTTATGTTTGTATATTATGTATTATGTGTACAGTATTTTTAATGTGTTACAGAGCAGTATCAGTGCTTACCTGGTGGCTCAATGGTATAGAATCTGCTTGCAATGCAGGAGACCTAAGTTTGAGACGATCCCTGGAGAAGAGAATGGATACTCAGTCCAGTATTTTTGGACTTTCCTGGTGGTTCAGATGGTAAAGAATCTGCCTGCCAATGCAGGAGATGCAAGAGATCTGGATTCGATCCTTGGGTCAGGAAGATCTCCTGAAGTAGGAAATGGCAACCCACTCCAGGATTGTCTGGGGAATCCCACGGACAGGAGAGCCTGGTGGCTATAGTCCACAGGGGTCACAAAGAGCAACTGAGCGACCAGTGGCTTGACTTTCACAGCACTATACAGCTGACTGTGCTAGTTGGGTACTTATGCTAACTTTGTTGGACTTATGAACACGCTCTTAGAATGGAACTTGTTCATATGTAGGGGACTTTCCATACACAAACTAAAGAAAATATGACTTCTCAACTCTTGGAATATCTGCTAACACACAACATGTGGAAGGATTTAACTAGGCTAAGCGTAATTATGCCAGAAGATCACTAACCAATGGACAGTAGTCTCAGAAAGCACCCGAATCCATGTCTGGGATAGATCTTGCCTACCAAACCTACCTCCAGACCAGCTCATCCAATGCCTTCTATTTCAAACTGCCAGAGCCTTTATCCCACCCTCTTAGACTCTGTTCACTCTTCACTCACTCTCTGCTCTACATACCCCAAGCATCCAGGGTTCCTTTGACCTCTGGAATCCTACCAGTTAAGAAGAGCCCAGACTGCCTAACTCCTCTATGCCTCATCCACTGAGAGTCTCTGATGCTAGAATGAGTCATTTATCCTTTTTGTAACAGCTCCCTTTTATTCTCCATTTCTTTTCAAGTCAGTCTCTTCCACAAGGCCTCAACGAGAATTTCTCGGAGAACTTCCCTGCTCACTGTCCCACTGAAAGGGTGGACAGTGACTCTGCTCTTGGGGACCTGTCAGTGTTTTGGCTCTGAGGCTTAGATCTCCAGGTTTAAAATGAGCCTTCTCTCTTGGGACCATTGTGAGAAGTCACTCACCCTAAATTCTTGAGAGAGAAATAAAACATACACCAGGCAAATCTGGCTACTTGTTGTTCAGTCACTAAGTCATGTCTGACTCTTTGTGACCCTGTGGACTGTAGCCCGACATGCTCCTCTGTCCATGGGATTTCTCAGACAAGAATATTGGAGTGGGTCGCCATTTCCTTCTCCAAGGGATCTTTCTGACCCAGGGGTCAAATTTGCATCTCCTAAATCTGGCTACTACTGAACCAAAACAGTATTTATCAGGAAAGTAAGGCTAAATGTTTCCAGGAAAAATATCTTTTTTAAAAAATGCTTTTGAAAAATAAATCAAAGCAAATGAATCCTTCCAGGAAAGACTCTCTGGAGCCCAGAGTCAAGAAAGAATTAAAAGTAACCAATAAATTGTTCTCAACAAGCTCCTGGTCTAGGACTTTAGGTCAGACTATCAGGGAATCAGTCTCCAGTTGGGGGTGGGGGGTTTCTCCCTGGGCCCACATGCTCTCATTTCTTGAACTTCTAAAATAAGACTGAAGTGATAACCCTGCTCAGTGGAAAGAGTCTTTTAGTGCACTAAACCTCATTATGAGGGATGAGAGGCAGTCACTGAATCTGAAACCAGACACATCACATTTAAATACAACTGCAGACTGAAGTTGGTGACCCAGGGAGGTAGGAAGCAGGTAAGACAATTAAAGCCTGGAGGCAGGAAGAGTCCAGAGCTACTGGATCATTAGCTATTTTCTTGTCCTAAAACAATGCGACATACTGCAGTTCAAAGGAAGTTGTTTTATTTCTGATTTACAGGCATGGTATTGTGTTTTGGAGGGTAGGTGATGTTCATATTCTGCTTTTTTACGGTAAAGACCTGTGCTCATGTATATATTGAAAGCTGCTAAACAAATTGTTGTTTCTGCAACCCATCAGGGACTATGTTTGCAGCACTGAGGCCCAGGTCATTCAGTCTCAGCTCTGTGCTGGGATCAGAAGGGTCTGGAGGGTTCTGAATCTTCCTTCCTTCTTTCCTTCCTGCCACAGTGCCTGAAACGTCCACCATGAAAATGTTTACATTGGGTTAGGAGAGGAAAATAAAATTCACTGTGAGCAGGAAGAGGATAATGCATTTATTGTGGTCAATTTAGTGTCAGTTGCTTTAACAACTAAACTAGCTTCGAACAATGTGAGGACATAGAAGAGGGGAAAGAGGAAGTTCTGGATCAGAGTGGAACCTGAATGGTGATGTTGAACACCAGCTCTGATGACTGTGTTAGTGCATTTATTGTGCATATGCACCCACGAGTCAGAAGAAGAAAATCAGAAATCAGGCACCACCATTGACTGTGATATTTAACTTCCCTGAGCCCCACTTACCTCATTTGTCCACTAGCCTTTTCATTTTTCAGCTATATGAACTTAGAGTAGGCCCAGGACCAGCTGCTCAACATGAGGGTCCATTGCACAATGAAAATGCAGGGACTCCGCTGCTGGCCCAGCCATTAAGGATCCGCATTCCAATGCCAGGACGTGGGTTCGGTCCCTGGTCAGGTAACTAATGTCCCACATGTCATGGGACAACTAAGCTCACACCCACAATCACTGAGTTCAAGCACCACAACGAAATGCAACGAAGATGCAGCAAGATGCAACTAAGACCCAACACGGCCAAATAAATAAATTCAAATAAACTTAGAGAAAATGCGAAGCCCCTTTCAAAACTCTTTTCTTGAGATTTTCAAGTCGGTGACTGAAGAGCATTAAAGAAAGTTCGAGGCCCTTCTAAGCATGAGATCTGTGCAAACACCCAATTGACACAACTGTAAGACAGCCCCATGGGTCTTTTCTCCTCAGGACTCAGCTCAGTGGCTGTTGCTTCTAAGTCAACGATGCCCAAAAGAAGATGAGCATCATTCATTTCTGGATCCTCTCAATGCCTGCCCATCTTGAGATTAACAACAGCTGACATGTTTAGCACATGTTTAAGGGAGAAAGTTATAAAGATACATGAGAGTGACGCAGGAGATAGTTGGGCACCAGGCTGAGCAGCTGCATCCAGTCTCCTGAGGACACTTTGAGACAAAATCACAACAGAAGCATCAGCCCTGATTGGGTGAAAGACAAAGTGACCATATTTTTTTTCATATGTCCTGCCAAACCCCCCAGAAACCTTCACACTGGAATTCATCTTGGTTGAGAGATGTGTGCACCACCAGGAAGGATCCTGAGTCAGGCCAAATATGGGCCCAAGCAAGATGACTGGCCAGAGACAAACACAGAAGACTGCCCCCATATAAGCAATCTAAACCATTCTTATCGGGAGCAATTCTCTCTGAGAATTCACCCATGTGCTCTTCCGTGCATGCTGTGTACTTGGTCACTCAACTGTGTATAACTCTTTGTGACCCCACGAACTATAGCCCACCAGGCTCCTCTGTCCATGGGATTTCCCAGGCAAGAATACTGAAGTGCTTGTGTATTTTGGAAATTAATCCTTTGTCAGTTATTTCATTTGCTATTATTTTCTCCCATTCTGAAGGTTGTCTTTTCACCTTGCTTATAGTTTCCTTTGCTGTGGAAAAGCACATGAAAGGATGCTCAACATCGCTCATTATTANCTGTATCAACCTAGAGGGGTGGGATGGGCAGGAGATGGGAGGGAGGTCCAAAAGGAAGGGGATAGATGTATACCTATGGCTGATCCATGTTGAGGTTTGACAGAAAACAGCAAAATTCCATAAAACAGTTATCCTTCAATAAAAAATAAATTAAAAAATAATTATAAAAAGTGAAAAAAAAACCCAGAAAACTGGAGTGGGTTGCCATTTCCTCAACATGTACTTTGATTTTAATAAACATTGTATCTGTTTCACAATATTGGTCTCTGTTGAATTATTTCTTCAAAGAAGACAGGGACCAAGGTCCTGCTTCCAGCCACCCCCACCCCCCAACAATAGTATTCACGTATTATTACCAACATTAGATCCCAAGTAGAAATGATTCATATGAATATGTGATAAGAAATATTTTCTCCTCTTTTAACTGAACTATTTTGAAGTGTCAAATTATTTAGGAGCTTTTACTGTGTGTCAGTGGCACGACTGGTAAAGAACCTGCCTGCCAATGCAGGAGACATAAGAGACACGGGTTTGATCCCTGGGTCAAGAAGATCCCCTGGAGGAGGAAATGGCAACTCACTCCAGTATTCTTGCCTGGAAAATTCCATGGACAGAGGAGCCTGGTGGGCTACAGTCCATGGGGTCTCAAAGAGTCAGACACAACTGCAGTGACTGAGCAAGCAAGCACTGTGTTTCAAGTCCTTTCCTTAAAGGGAGAATGATCTCTGTGGTTATAATATCAACAAAAGTACCATTGTCAGTGTAAATAAAGATGCAAGAGCAGAGGCAACTTTGTGGTATAATTACACATTGGGTACCGCTCAGCTCCTATTGAGAAACTGAGCCTGAACAATGCAGACATACGCAGACCCACTTTGTTAAATAAATAATTGTTCTCTGAAGGTTGCCCTGGAAAGATTACTGTCTCTAACTTCCATGAACTGCTCATCTGCAAGGGAAGAAGGTGGTAACTGTTAGAGAAACTGCTCTTAAATGCATGAACCACATCAGAGAACTTTTGGAAAATCCCTTATTATTCATTAAAGCGTGTTACGGCCTTATTAATTCAGATGGGATAATCGGTTGTTGATCAGCCAGACAGTTAAGCATTCATTGTCAGATGCTGATGGGGTGTGAGAAATTACATTTCCCATCCACCAAAGATTCACCTGAAGGCAGTTAGCACTTCATCAGGTAAGGCTTCCTCTTTAGGGGATAAATTAGCTGGATTTTTATTCCCCAGCCTTTACTTTCATCTCCCAAACTTTTCCATATTGCAAGCATGCCTCATTCTGTTTGGTTTTCCTTGCCTTTGTCTGAGGTTGAAAACTATGCCAGGAGCCAACTTTAAAAGCTGGTGGGTTACAAAGAAAATCACATTTGTGCTCAGGAGTCTAACATGAAATGGGTGCTGTGTGTGTCTGTGCATGTACATCTCTGTGTGTGCCTGTGTGCTCTGAGTTGGTTTTACAACTCTTGGCTAAAGCCTCCTCCACACTTTTAGTTCTTCAGATCCAAACTGCATCCAGGTCATTCAGGGACTTATTCAGCCAGCTCTCCAAGACTTAGCTTCTTTTATTTCCAAACTGTGACCGACCATGAGGGTAGTGTAACAGTAATGAGCATGGTGAGAAGAGTCCCTGGATTAGAGGTCAGACTATGTTGATTCATTTTCCGGTTCTGGTTCTGTTTTAGGAGAACTGACTGTCACTTTTAAACTGCTCTCAATTTCAACAAGTCATTTCATCTCTCTGACAATATGCAATTAATTTTTTTCTCCCTATGATAACAGAGCAACACTGATACTTAAGCTCCAATACTTTGGCCACCTGATGTGAAAAGCCAACTCATTGGAAGAGACCCTGACGCTGGGAAAAACTGAGGACAGGAGTAAAGGGATGACAGAGGATGAGATGATTGGATGGCATCCCAGACTCAGTGGACAAGAGTTTGAGCAAACTCTGGGAGATAGTGAAGGAAGGGAAACCTGGCGTGCTGCAGTTCAAGGGGTCACAAAGAGTTGGACACAACTTAGCAACTGACCAACAAAACAAAGCAAAAAGAGTTGGGTGTATTTCTACAAAGATAGACCAGTACCCAACTCTTTGTGGAATTTCTGACCTCAAAGGGACAGAGGGCTTGCAAGACTAAGAGGACCTCCCCCACCACCGTCACCAGCAAATCTTCAAAGGAGGTATGTGTTTACTCACGGAACTGCTCCAGGTGGTCAGCACTGTTAGACTCCGGCATGGCCGTGATAGTCACCAGTGGACAGGAATTCCCTCCTAGCGTCTGGCAGAGAACCTCCTGTCGGAAGTAGACTTGCTTGTGGTTCACACTTTTTTCCAGAATGTCAAGGTGAGTCTGGGGCAGAAATTAAAGAAAAGTCTATTTTAAGATTTTTTTATAACAACAGGTGAAAGCAGCAACAAAGCTTATATTCCTCTAACTCCTGGTAGTTTAGAAGTATTTTTGTTAACCTAATCTGCCCAACAGGTGGCTCAGTGGTCAAGAATCCGCCTGCCAATGCAGGAGATGTAGGTTCAGTCTCTGGGTTGGGAAAAATCCCCTGGAGAAGGCAATGGCAACCCACTTCAGCATTCCAGGCTGGGAAATCCCATGGACAAAGGAGCCTGGCAGGCTATGGTCCATGAGGTCACAAAAAAGTTGGACAGGAGTTAGCAACAAAAACAAACAGATCTGCCTGACACAGGGCATCAATTCCTTTAGAAGCGGGACTGTTCCTGCTCCCTGGAAGAAGTTCAGTGAGGCTGAACAGGACACATCATTCCTGCCTGCGTCTGCACAATAGAGTATCTGATTCCAAGCTGCTCTGACAGCAAAAGAGGAGGCGCACACAGCACTCTTCCCATGACAGTGACATACAAAGAATGTGGTTATCATGAAGACAGAGTACACGCAAGACACTTGGGAATGTGAGACACAGCTTCAGTGGGGTGCACATGACTCTAGATTTAAGCAATACAAGGAGGGCTGGGAGCATATGGAAGGAAAACAGGAAGCAACCGATTCAGGGAAAATGTTACGTGAAGAAAACTAACTGGTAGCAAATGATTTTCCCTACCCTACCCTCTCTTTGGGCTTCCCTGGTGTCTCGGTGGTAAAGAATCCACTTGCCAGTACAGGAGATGTGGGTTCAATCTCTAGGTTGTGAAAATTCCCTGGAGAAAGAAATGGCAGCCCACTCCAGTTATTCTTGACTGGGATATCCCATGGACAGAGGAGCGTGGCGGGCTATAGACTGTAGGGTCACGAAGAGTCAGACACAACTTAGTGACTAAACAACAACAAAGGATGTCCACGGCCCAAACTTCAGACCCTGACAATATGTTACCTTACGTGGCAAAAGGGACTTTGCAGATATATTTAAGTCTATTTGAGATGGGGAGATGATCCTGCATTAACCAGTTGGGGCCAAACTATTGATATATGTAATCACAAATGCTTAAAAGCAGAGAATTTTCCCCAGCCACAAAGGACCAGAACCACATGCAAAGAACTCAGGCTTCCATGCTGGCTTTGAAGATGGAGGGAAGAGGTCAAAAGTTGAGGAATGTGGTGTTTCTAAAAGCCAGCAAAGGCAAGGAAATGGATTCTCCTCCACTATCTTCCAGAAGGAATACAGACCCAATACCTTGATTTTTTTTTAAATACTTTTTATTTTGCATTGGAGTATAGCCAATTAACAATGTTGGGGCAGTTTCAGCAAAGGCTGTGAACAGCAAAGAGACTTAGCCATACACATACATGTATCCATTCTCCCGCAAATTCCCCTCTCATCCAGGTTGGCACATAACACTGACCAGAGTTTCCTGTGCTAGACAGTAGGTCCTGTTGGTTACCCATTTTAAATACAGCAGTGTGTACATGTCCATCCCAAACGCCCTAATTATCCCTTCTCCCTGGCAACCATAAGTTTGTTCTCTAAGTCTATGAGTTTGTTTCTGTTTTCTAAGTTCATTTGTATCATTTCTTTTTAGATTCCACATATAAGGGATGTCATATGATGTTTGTCCTCTGACTTCTCTCATATGACAGTTTCTAGGTCCATCCACGTTGCTGCTAATGCCATTATTTATTCTTTTTAATGGCTGAGTAAAATTCCATAGTATATATGTATCACATATTCTTTATCTGTTCCTCTGTTGATTGCCATTTAGATTATTTCCATGTCTTTGCTATTATAAACAATGCTGTAATGAACATTGGGATGCATTTATCTTTTCAGTTTGACTTTTGCCCAATGATTTTTACTCATATTGAACTTCTCACCGTAAGAGCTATGAGATTTTTTTTTAATTGTTTAAGCTACCAAATGTGTGATAATCTGTTATGGCAGCAATACAAAACTAATACACTGGGCAGTAAGAAAAAGAACTTTCTAAACAAAGTAGAAATCCTAGCATCTGGATAGGAATGGACTAAATTCCACTTGTACTCTAATGAATAAATGTCGGACTTACAAGGAAAAAGAAAAAGTCCCAAGGAAAGAAAAGATGACCAGGGATTCTGTGGCCTTTCCTATAGCTTCAAGGATACCTGAAAATTTAACCCTGAATCGCATCCTCCTTGCAACTTGGATCCGGAATCATCTGCCTCCACATAGGCTACTGCCTGGATTAATAAGAATTTATTACTCTCTGTATGCATCAACACAAGTTTACTGCCCTAGGAAACACTTGCCTGGGAAAATAGAAATTACAAATAAATTTACTTTTCATAAACTGATAATTTTACAGGAACATCTCAACAACTCTTCAGTAGAAAATATCAACTGGGGACTTCCCTGGTGGTCCAGTGGTTAAGAATCTGCCTGGCAATGCAGGGGACACAGGTCCTCTCCCTGGTCTGGGAACTAAGATCCTACATGCCACAGAGCAACTAAACCTGTGGGCCATAACTAGAGAATCCATGAGCCACAACAAAAGATGACGATGACGCAGTGAAGATACAGCATACTGCAAGTAAGACTTGACAACCCTCTCCTCAAGATTCTTGCCTTACAGCGTCCACCAGGCTTAAACCATTATATCATGATCTTTACCCAATGTTAATCAAGCCCTACATTAAAATACCTGAACTTAACAAAACTTTGAAATCTTTATAAATACCCCAGGTTTGCCCTTCCTCCTTTGAGACACTATCAAGACTCCTGTCACATTCTCCCTTATCAAATATGTTAGTTTCCTATCACTTCTGCAACAAATTACCACAAATTTACTGATTGGAGAAAACACAAATTTATTGTATTACAGTGCTGGAGGTCAAAAGCCCAAAATGGGTTTTGCTGTGCAAAAATCAAGGTGTTGGCAAGACTGCACTCCTCATGGAAGTTCTCGAAAGTAACTTCCTTGCCTTTTCTAGCTTCTGGAGGGCAGCTGCATTCTTTGGCCCATGGTGCCCTCCGCTACAGTCAAAGGAAGCAATCACAGCATTCCTACCTTGGTTTCCATGGGCAAATCTCCTTTTCTGACCCGGACTCTTCTGTCTTAGTGGTTCACGGTTAAGGACCCTTGTGATTACATTGGACCCAATGTAATAGTCTGACATAATCTCCCCATCTCAAAAGGTTTAACTTAATCACATCTACAAAGTCCTTTGTGCCACATAAAGCAGCATCCTTAAAGGTTTCAGGGATTAGAAAGTGAACATCTTGGGCTGGGGGCAGTATTCTGTCTACCACACCAAGGTAAGCAATATCTTCGGTCTGTCTCAGAAACAGGTGGTAATTCTGAGAGCCAGCATTTGACACAATACTAAGAAAAGGAATTGTAAGGACCATGGCTACCTCAGGTTCAAAAGGAGAATTCACCTAAGGCCCATGTATCTGACCAAGCTTTTGTGCTTCAATCTTCCTATCGTTTGTCAAGTGATGATGAATACCAGGTATTGTTGTGAAGCACCTCCAATGGGGAGTGGGAGGTGGTCTCACACCCCTTAGAGACAAGGAGGCTAGTTCATGGTGCACACATAGACACACTGTGCACACACTAGCTACAAAGGCCCTGTGTAAACAGCTCAGGACGAAAGCTGAATTAAACCCAGAACTGACGGCTCTTCTAAGCTGAGGCTTCATCTCTCATGACCACACACTTCTCTGGCAAAGACTGACTCAGGCCCAGAAAGCTGTGCCTGAGAGTCCAGACTTCCACAGAGGCCCTTCCACACGTGCTGTGCTATTGCTTGCCTTTCTCTAGGGTGCATTCATTTGGTTCCAGGTAAAGCCTAGACTTACCTGTTCGATCACTAATCTAAACCCAACATCATTGCTCCTTGTTGAGCAGAATGGGGGTTGCACCACTCAATTAAAGTTATTTTTAAAAGTGTGTGTATGTGTAGAGGTAACCCTATTCATGTAAATATATATATATATATATACACACACATATATATGCAAAAAGTTATTCTTGTGTCAAATTCCTTCTACAGTGCTAAATGTCAGAGGAAATGGAGTACTGCTTAGTGCTTGAAAGTACAATGTATAGCAAACCTATAACCAGCCAAGTTTTTACTCACAAAGTTCTTCTCATATATGCTCAGCTATGCAAGAGCTCAGAGAACATATTACCTCATCCTTATAATAACTTGAAGACAAATTTTAGCTGCCCAAATTCAAACTAAGGAGTGATAGAAAAGGACAGTCCACTTAAACAAGGTTCATTTAGATGATTATTGGAAAACACAGCTACTACATAATACAAACATAAAAAAATAGTTCTTTAGGGAGATAACATATCATCAAATGTTAATTTCGTCATCTGGTTCTAAAATGAAATTAAAAAGAAGTGTTTAAGTGAAGTATAAAGTAAAACAAAATATTCACTTTTCAACTTACATGGATATGGTATTATTACTTAATTCGTAAAAATGGAAAGGCAGTGTAGCAAGATGACTAACTATGCAGGCTTTGAATCGAACAGCCTGGGTTCTAAATTTGGTTGTGGATTCTAGAAAAATCGTGTAAATTCTATCTTTAACCTCTTTGTGACTCAGTTTTCTCTGTAAAGTGTATATAAAATGTCATTCAGTGGTTGCTATAATTTAGTCATTTACTGTGTGTGAGAAGTGTCTGTCATACAGGAAACACTCAATTTCAGCAGTTATTATTCATGGATACATGTATATTTAATTTTTTTAAGAACTGAAAGGGAAACACTAGCAGAATTTAAACACTGTAGGAAAAATAATCAAAGAAAACATGGTCACTTCATGTTGCACAAAACAGAAAGAAAGAAAGAGAGAAAGAGAGAAAGGAAGAAATGAGGGAAAGAAGAGAGGGAGGGAGGGAAGGAAAAAAGGAAAAAAGAAAGGAAGAGGGAGGGAGGAAGGGATGGACGGGACGA